CTAAAAAAAAAAAAAAAAAAAAAGCCCCATCTCTGGCCTTCCATGATCAGGCTGGAGGAGAGGGTCTGCAGCCTCCTCCATTACAGGCTGGTGAACTCCGGAGTCTGAATGACCTGGCTTGTCTCTAGCTCTGCCACTTCCTGGTGAGGCCTCAGTTTCCTCATCTGTAGAATGGTCCCCCCCCCCTCCGCAGAAGACGCAGCAGGAAAAGCTCTGAGTACTAGGCCCTGCACAGTTGAACTCACAAGTTCTTGGCAGCTAAGCCTCCACTCTCCTCCTCCTCCTCCACCTCAGTCCCCAGTAAGCCCCCTCCCTTGGCGTCCTTCATGGCCCCCAGCAAGGCCTGGCACCCGGTAGGGTGACGTCTGAGCTGCATGCGCTGCTTAGGACGCCCTCCTCCGGGCAGGGGCCATCGGGAGTGGCAGGCAGAGCTGGGGCTCTGCGGATCTCGGCAGGGGCACTCACCCCAGGTGGGCTGCGCGCTGCTCTGCTCCTCGCTGCCCCGCTCCGCGCGGGCCAGGAAGAACACTGCTCCCGCCACGGCTCCGCGAGCAATCTCCTGGCCCAGAGGGCGGGGCCGAGGGGGCGGGGCCAGCGAAGTCCGGCCCGAGCCTCCATCTGGAGTCCCGGGAGCATGCGGGGAGGCCGGGGCTGGCTCGGACCTCGCGGACCTGTCTTCCTTGGGCGGCTAGGATACCATTCCCAGCCGTGGGGCACGTAATCCCAGCCACCAGCGCTTCTACGCTGCCGAGATGCGGGAAAAGCGCTGAGTTCAGGCCTAGCTCAGGCTGGGAGATAGGACCCCATCATCTCTCACGTAGAAGGCTCACTGGGACTCCAACACACTCAGGCTGATAGTCCAAGACTGGAGTCTGCCTGGCACTCTTCCCCACCTCCAGAACACCCTAAGCTTGGGTGATGCGGCTTTGATACCGCCACCTTCCTGTTCTGACCGCTCACCATAGTACTTCAGGCTGTGGATGGGTGACTGACCTTCCCTGGGCCTTTCTTCAGTGGCAGCAGGACAGTAGGGGCCAAGCCATGTTGTGTCATTCTGCTCTGGGACCTACACCCAGCGGCACTGGGAAGTAGCCCTGTGACCAGGGAGGTCTGTTCGCTCTGTGGTCTGTTAATTGGGCCTACAGCAGGGATCGCTCCTAATCAGCTCCCTGTGGAGCTCAGGTCCCAGTAACTGGAAGCTGGGACTCACGGCCACCCTGGACCTTACCCACTGGGGACCAGAGGGACAGGAGGCCTCTCAGCTCTGGTGATCCTTTTTTTTTTTTTTTTTTTTTTTGAGACAGAGCCTCAAGCTGTCCCCCTGGGTAGAGTGCCGTGGCATTACAGCTCACAGCAACCTCCAATTCCTGGGCTCAAGCGAGTCTCCTGCCTCCGCCTCCCAAGTAGCTGGGACCACAGGCGCCCGCCACAACGCCCGGCTATTTTTTGGTTGCAGCCGTCATTGTTGTTTGGCGGGTCCGGGCTGGGGATTCGAACCCACCACCTTAGGTGTACGTGGCTGGCACCTTAGCCGGTTGAGCTATAGGCGCCGAGCCAGCTCTGGTGATCCTTAAACTCCACGCAGTGAGCTAAGGCCTCTGAGGGGTGGGGAAACGGAGCCCCAGAGCTAGACCTGGAAACCAAGTCATGGGTAGAAAACTGGGGACTTATGTTGGGCACCATAGGTCTGTTCTGATGTGGGTGGTGAAGGACAGGGGGAGCTTGATGCAACCAAACAGCACCAGAGGGACCTGCAGCAAAAGGATGCCTTGAGTTCCAGCTGGATGTATTCTGACCTGTGTTTAATAAAAGTATTCTGCATATGTGTAAACTGGCTCAACCCAGGTCTGGGAAAAGCTAAACTGAAGGTGACAGGATTCCTAAGTTTGCTTCTTTGGACTTCTGTGCTTTTAGAAATAAATGCTCATCTTTAAGGCTGGGCTTAGTGGCTCACGCCTGTAATCCTAGCACTCTGGGAGGCCCAGGTGGGTGGATTGCCTGAGCTCACAGGTTTGAGACCAGCCTGAGCAAGAGCGAGACCCGTCCTCTAAAAATAGCCAGGCGTTGTGGCAGGCATCTGCAGTCCCAGCTACTCAGAAGGCTGAAGCAAGAGAATCACTTAAGCCCAAGAGTTTGAGGTTGCTGTGAGCTGTGATGCCATAGCACTTTACTGGGGGCAACAAAGTGAGACTGTTTCAAAAAGAAAAAAAGAAATGCTCATCTTTGACAGGGAGCAGGACCAGCAGTGGCACTTCCTGGGCTCCAGGCTTCCCTATGGTTCCTACAGTTACTTCTCACCCCAGCTCCTCCGTGGGGGCCTCAAAGCCCTGGTCAGTGCAGGGGCCCAACAAGGGCCTGGGCCACTTCCACATCAAATGGCAATGTCTGGCCTAGGAAGTAGACCCAGTTGTCAGCAGGTGAGCTGAGTAAAGGGGGTCCTTGGGAATGGGCTGGGGAAAGGCTGGATTTCTTTGCTGCAGGCCTTCTCAGAGCTTTTAATGTCTAACATGCAATTTCTGCCTAAGAGAAGTCACTTAGGGCATTTCTACACCTACTGGAATGCAGAATACCCTCCCCCTTCTTTCCAAGAAGTTATCATGGGAGAGTAGCTTTTTGTAAAAAGTACATTTGCAAATGATCAGGGAGAACTCAAGGTCTTTCGGACTTGAGTTAGTGTACCCATATGTATCACGTGATCCCAAGCAAGTCACCTCACCTGCTAAGGCATTTACTCATCTGAAATCCTTTCAGTGCTCCCCAGCAAGTTCAAGGGGCTGTTTTTGATTACTATGTCAGCATGGGGCTTGTAACCCAAGAGAAAATCACACTACTTTGCTGGGACTCCCCTGGGACTGCAAAGCAGGAAGTTTTGAGTGGCAGAAGTCAGGCCAGCAGCCTGTTTGGGGAAACCTGGGGGAAAAAAGGGGATGTGGTTGGAAGCAAGGCCAGCTCACGGGCAGCAGGGCCTGTGTCACCACCCCCTGACTGTCACCCCCACAGCAAGCTTCCTCCAACCCCAACAAGGACACCTTGGCCTTTCTGAGTTTCTGCCATTTAATGTTGTTCAGCCTAAGGCCTGGGGAGGCTTCAAGTCCTCATGGTCTTAGCTGTGGGTGGCCCTCGGCAGAGAGAAGGTCCAGGTCCCCCACTCCCAAAAACACTCAGGGTCATGGGAAGACCTGGCCTGATGTGACTTCCACATAGCTGTGCCTTGGGGAACATGAGTGGGTAACAGTGATGCTGTGGCCAATGATCCATCTGTGAGGAGGGTTAATGGGTCCCCTGGAGCAGCAGGGAGGTTGGGCCGTGGGCATCAGCATTTTGAGAGATGGGGCTGGGGGACAGCCCTGTCTAGCTGGAGGCAGCCTGAGGCCTCAGGCAGGCTGGCATTGGTCCCGACCTGGTGGCTAGATTCAAGACAGGAGGCTGTAGTGGAGGTGTTGAAGCTGTTTTACTGGGCAGCAGAGACTGCGGGCCACGCAGACAGGGAGGAGGCATCACCGGTATAGGTAGTCAGCCTGGATGTTGGCAGCGATCTCTGCCTCCCACTTGTCCCCATTGTTGAGCAGCTTCTCCTTGTTGTACAGCAGCTCCTCGTGCGTCTCCGTGGAGAACTCAAAGTTGGGGCCCTGCAAGTAGGGTATAGGGACAATGGTGTTAGGCCTCTCCCAGGAGCCTCTGCTCCCACCTCCACCATGCCAAGAGCCTACTCACCTCAACGATGGCATCCACGGGGCAGGCCTCTTGGCAGAAGCCGCAGTAGATGCACTTGGTCATGTCAATGTCGTAGCGTGTGGTCCGGCGGCTACCATCTGCCCTTGGCTCAGCCTCGATGGTGATGGCCTGGGAGAAGAGGACACCAGGCACTACCACACTGCCCAGCTATGTCTACACCTGGTGTTTGCAAAGAAGCCCTCACCCCTCTAGGCCCTCAAGATGCCTTCCTGATACCCACTCCCCAGAGGCCGCGCCTCACATCAGCCTCTTGTGCCTTTCTTCCTCCAGCTGACATTCTCATTTGTTATTTGCCACTATCTCCTGCCCAACATACTTCCCATGAGGGGAGGGCTGTCACCTGCTTCGTTCATCCCAGCACCTGCAGCATCGGGGATCTTACACTGAGTAAGTACAGAATTATAGGCATACCTCATCTTACTGTCCTTTGCAGATAATGGTTTTTTGTTTTTGTTTTTTAAATAAATTGAAGTTTCATGGCAACACTGCATCGAGCAAACACTCACTTTGTTTCTCTGGGTTAGTACTTTTTTTAGGGGGACAGAGTCTCAAGCTGTCACCCTGGGTAGAGTGCTGTGGCGTTATAGCTCACAGCAACCTCCAACTCTTGGGCTCAAGCAAACGTCTTGCCTCAGTTTTTCTACTTTTAATAGAGATGAGGTCTTAATCTTGCTCAGGCTGATCTTGAACTCGTGAGCTCAAGCAATCCACCTGCCTTACCCTCCCAGAGTGCTGGGATTACACGTGTGAGCCACTACGCCCAGTCTCTGGGTTAGTACTTATTAGCAATAAAGTAGCATTGTTTTGTTTTCACTTTTCTAACAGAGTCTTGCTCTGTTGCCCAGGCTATAATGCCATGGCGTCATCATAGCTCACTGCAGCCTTCAACTCCTGGGCTCAAATGATCCTCCTGCCTCAGCCTTCCAAGTAGCTGGGATTATAAGCACGTGCCACTATGCCCTGCCAATAAGTTTTTTTTTTTTTGATACAAGAGTCTCAAGCTGTTGCCCTGGGTAGTGTGCCAAGGCGTCATAGCTCAGAGCAATCTTTAACCGGGTTCAAACAATCCTCTTGGCTCAGTTTTTCTATCTTTAATAGAGATGGGTTTCATTTTTGCTCAGACTGGTATTGAACTTGTGAGCTCAAGCAATCTAGCCACCTCAGCTTCCCAGAGTGCTAGGATTATAAGTGTGAGCCACCTCACCTGGCAGTTTTGTTTTTTCTTTTTTTTTGAGACAGAATCTCACTCTGTCACCCTAGGTAGAGTGCCAAGGCATCATAGCTCACAGCAACCTCAAACTCTTGGGCTCAGGCGATCCTCTTGCCTCAGCCT